ATTAAACCAAGTGTGAGTTACGAAAATATCACCGTATTCTGTATCACATAAATTGATATAAACTAAAGATATTAATAGAAAAACGGAGACGCCGATCGATGCTAAAGCAGCACGGACATCCTCGTTTTACCGCGGCTCCAAATTAATTATCGAAACGTTGAACAAAAATTGCAACGACATCAAATCGAGTAAAAATTATATTAAAAAAAGAGAACGTGTACTCCATACTGGATGAAAGTGACGATTGTCCCAAGTCATTTGACTTAATAAAATTTATTTTGGATTTTTAACGTGGATCTACTGTTGCTTGCAGAGTTGTGGGAGGCTGGAAGGTTTCTTTAAAATTTCGGAAGAGATAAACTGGAATCGTGCGCGGGGGAATGAATGGCGAAGGGGGTTGAGACGTCGGGGAGGGTGAATTTGTGGAGCAGGCTGATGTCGATGCACGCACCCCTCTGACCAACGAACCGTGCCACCCCAGTACAGGTAAAACGGGTGCGAGTTACCTGCTCGAAGAACGTTGATACTACTTTTCCATCAGCTATCATCCGATGAATCCAATGAAATTTCGAATAAAACAGCATCGATTATCGAGAGATTAACGTGAACGGAATCATTAAAATTGTAAGAATCGGAAGAGCATCGTATCAGAGATGGAATGAAAGAGAATGGAGAGAATCGGGAAAACTGTGTGGGGCTGCCACCCTTTTGGTTGTAAACAAATTGAAGGGTTGGAAGAGGGGCGAGTGGAGGGGGCTGGGACAACGGAGGTGGTCGCGAGAGTGCTAGGTGTCGGTGGTACTCAGTAGCACGGCGGTCACAGATCCTCTCAGAACACAGAAAAGCTGCTACCGAGATGAACCAGTGATCCATCGAATTCAAATAAACTGTTTTGTAAATTGAAAAAAACAGGCGAGGGATAGGAAGTGAACTTGACTTGTGAAAGTGACTATATATATAAAAAAAAAAAATTTGATCTAGCAGGCGAAGGAAATTCGTGAATTCTCCAGAAGATTGTGGGACCATTGATCGATGGATCGACAGCGATGACAACGTCAAGTAATTAAAATTCGCAGTTCACTCGAGGATTTCATCTGGTTCGAAGAGGATGAAGGCTGAGAGCAACAACGGGTATCTGAGGACCGCCGTGATCGAGGAACAGAACGAGATTCCCGGTTCCGGTCAGGGGACACCCGCCACCAGTCCTCTTCAGG